CTCGTCCTCATCCTTGCCCCCCTTCCTCCTCCTCCCTCCTCCATCCCTCCTCCTCCTCCTCCTCCTCCTCCTCCTCTTCCTCTTCTTCTTCTTCTTCTTCTTCTTCTTCTTCTTCTTCTTCTCTCTCTTCCTCTTCTCTGTCCTCTTCCCTCCTTCTCTCTTCCTCCCTCCTTCTCTCCCTCCCTTCTTCCCTCTTTCCTTTATGCTTTCTTTACACCCAAATATAGAACTCTTATGAGGCACTAGTAACCTTGGTTAACTAGAGCCATTAAACCCTGGTATGTCCATCCATTTCACCCTCGTTACTTTCTGCTTCCTGTGAATAGATCGTTTGAAAGCTGCCCATAGCCATCACTGTATAATAGTACTCTGCACTGTGAAAGCTATTCATGGTGAGGATTTAGCTCAATAATAAACATCCAAAATGGATGAAGAACAAAGGATGAGGTCAAGCAACATGCTGTTCCAGCCCCTCAACCGTTCTGCTGTGAGTGTGCTCTAGATGGGTGAAACCCATCAAATTGTTATGTTATCATGGGCCAATGTTTTCATCTCTGTGAAATAAAAGAGTTGTTGAGAAATAATTCCAGGTATTGACCTGAAGACTGAGAGATTCAACAAAGAATGAGTTTTTACCAAAGGAAAAGAGAAAGATCTTTAAACTCTTTAAGAATATTCTTATTCATGGGACTAAACTGAAAAATTTGAATTGCTACTGATTAGTTAGAAAGTGAACTAATCCCAAATCCCTACCTGGGACCATTCATGTCCATCAAGGTTTAACCACACTCCAAGCACTGTTTGTGACCTTCTTGGTAGGAGACTTGATCTTTCAGAAGCAGAGTAAAATGCAGATGTTGGAAAAAGTATCAGGTCTCAGAGAGTCCATCCCCTCGTTTTCTCAGACCCAAGCCCTTTCTCAGCAGGGTTTGCTTGAAGAATCCAAATTTGGGGATGGCAAAGGCTGAAGACAGCACCGTTTTCTTTGTGTTTTTCTTTCTACAGGTCATCTTCCAACTGTTTTCTGATACATTTTTTCCCTTTTCTGTGGTGCTGGGGCTTGAACCCAGAACTTCACGCATACTAGGCAAGCAAGCGTGCTACCAACTGAGCCACGCCCTCAGCCCTGTGCTACATTCTTTGCCACATGTATTTAAAATAGTCTCATGGACATGTTTTCTCACCTTCTTTTTTCCGTCTGCCGAGTAGAAACTTCGGTCTGATAATAAAACAACATGAAAGATCCCTTCAAACATACACCATGCTCCACTGGCCAACCCAGCAGAGAAACTCTGGCCAGACACAATGTCACTGAGCAATGCTGTATAGAGAGATCTCTTCCTTCTCACTTCTGCACTGATGAGCCAATGACATTGACAATGTGGTCACCGTTGCGCTGTGGCTGGGTTTTCTGTTTGTATGTTTGGGTTTTTCGGTTGACTTCTCTTTCTGTTTTGTGGGTTGCTGTGGTTTTAGTTTTTGTTGTTTGTTCATTTTGTTTTGGTGGTTGTCATTTTGCATTGTAAATACCATGATGTGGACATGTCATCAAAACATGCTAATTTAATAATTTATTTCCTATTTATTGAATGGTATTGGGAAGCGAGTGCAACCAGCCCTCCTCCTTAGTTGCTATTGGAAGCCCCCCCCCCACCATGCTGCTGTCTGCAGTAGGGAATTATCATCCAGGTAATGAGTGACAGACTCACCAAACAAATTGGAACTGGCAGAAACAGAGGCTTCTGTCATACAAATTAAGCTCAAATGGAACTAAAACACTGCTTATCTCCTGGAAAGACTCATTTAGATGGAAATTAATTGAGGAACTCAAATGCCTGTACAGAACCAACTTCTATTAAAAAGTCACAACTACTTGAAAAGAGAGAGAGAAAGAAAATTGTGATCTTTTTTCTCTAGCCAGGAGAACTTGCGCCTCATTGTCTAGGAGCTCAGCCAAAGAGACTGGAATGGTATTTCTTTGTGGATCTCTTGCCTGTGTCCTTTTGGGGACGAAAAGGAATGGGTCTTAGGCCTTGGTCTTATCATCTGTA